AACCAGATCGTCGATCTTGTGTGATCCCAAAAATAGAAAAGCAATTGTTTACTTGATCTAAATATAAAAATTGAGATTTAAATAAACTAGTATTACTAGTATCACTAGTATCCATTGTGTGTGAAGTATTTCTTTGTTATTTTTTTTAAATATGTTTTCTCTCCGTGTGGATGAAGTGTCGCTTAGAAATTGTTATTATGAAATATGTGAGTTTCAAAGCCCGCTTCTGCAAGCAATATAAATGAAGAAACGAGCGTCCGTTCTCTTCCTCTCTCCAAAATTACGCTGACAAATTTATAATTATACAGTTATTCATAGTTAACATAGTTCTGCACGATATTTTTAAGACGTATGCTATACAAGTATCATCTCTCGTTCTGTGTCGCGCTTTTCCACGCGCAGTTCCGCGTACACTTTAACGCGTCGCCGACACCTCGAAAGAGAGAGGATCTCACTGAAACGTCCGTTTGTTGTTTCCCGACGACAGTCGGAAGTGTTCCAGGCTGCGGTGGCGGCTGCGGCAGCGGCGCACGCAAATGGCGGCGGCCAGCAACCGACGCCAGCGACGGGCGCCGGCAACGAGGCGAGCCCTGAAGGCGGCGTGGAGTCTACCGCGTTGGTACCTGTCACCTCAGGTGCGACGACACCGGCAACAGCAACACAGGGCACCGACCTCAAAGGCCAACCAAAGCGCCTTCATGTCAGCAACATACCCTTCCGCTTCCGAGACCCTGACCTCAGGGCAATGTTTGGGGTGAGTATTTCCCTTTCGTTATTTCTCCGCTCGTTGTTTACTTATCGTTATTCTTCACCCGTCGAATCGGTTCTCTCGTGTCTCGTTCTCTAATTATGAGAAACAGTGGCGCGCGCTTCCGTTATCTCGTGTTCTTTCTTTTTTCTCGTCTTTCCTCGGTACTCCTCAGCTTCTCGTGTGTCGCGAAGTCGAAGTCGCAAGACGGCGGGTGTATTCGCAGCGAGGTGCACTCTCTGAATTTCTTGTAGTGAGTTTGACAGTATTTCGAGGCGATAGCGAGAGTATCGTCACTCACAAGAGTGACAAGAGTCACAAGAGAATCACGAGATCACAAGAGTGAAAAGTTTCACTCAAGATTAGAGTGGACTCTGACTTCATGCGAGCGGATATTTCATTCGATTCGAGTGAATATGCCCCGAAAATTCGGGTTACTTGGCTGTCACTCCGCTTTTTTCGAGTGAAATTGTACTCCAAGAAATTTAGAGAGCATTTTCTACATTTCTTCGGGGCGAAGTTTCACGCAGACTCGAACGACTTGCCGCTCATGCAGAGCTATCTCGAATCGTCGAGCGCGTGTCTTCATTCGAAATTGAGCAGCAAATCCGATATGCGTCACTCTTCAAGAAAAGCAAGAAATTTATTTTAATCCATTGATCACTCTTGTAGATAAAGAATCTATTCTGCGCGTCTGAATGAAACATTTGCTCTCGCGATGTCGAGCATTTCCATTATCGCCTCCAAATTTTCATTTACTTTGAGTGAGACTTCGCTTGGGGAAATTCAGAGGCTCAATCGCGCAAAGATGCACCTGTCGTTCTTGCGGGAAACTGTTAGAGATGTGCGAATCAAAGATTTTTTATATCAAATCGAATCGATGAAACTTCAGCTGAATCGAATCGAATGAAATTAAATTGAATCGTTGAAAGAATTTTTTAATTAACATAATCATTGAATTCAATATAAAAATAGTGACTTCAGTATGAGAGAGATAACATTGATCATGTTAATTGATATCAATTCATTTTAAGGTAAGAGATATATAATATATTGTCGGTAAACGTGTATGGAATACAGTTCCAGCCTTGAAAGCTGCGCAACGACACATATCGATCCGACAGTTGTCGATAAGAGTTTATTTAAAAGCCATCATCTTCTTTGAATATTTTTGAATAAAATCTTAATGTATGAAAATGTAAACTTTTCAAGTCATGCTAATTCCCGTAAGGCTGAATATATTTAATAGTACTTCGTTAATGCTAATGTGTGCGATTCGTATTCGAAACTTTCCGATTCGAAATTTTCGAATTATTCGGATTCGAATCATAGGGACTTGAAATTAAATAGAATCGAATTTCACTTGATTCGATTCGATTCGAATAGTTCGCACATCTCTAGAAACTGTCAACTGTTTAGGTAGCGAACAATGTCCCTTTCGGTTTGGTTTGTTAGCCGCGATTTTTTTTACTTTGCGCTCCCCGTGTTTGCTCTTTTTCAATTCATAGTTGGTCGCGCGTGTGCACGAAGAGTCTCGTGCGTTGAAAAGGTTCACGCGAACAAACGAACGAACGACTCGATTTAATATTTACGGGGTGGAAATTCACGGAAGCCTGTTGAAATCGCACGAGCCAGCGGGCACGAACCGGCCAGCATATTATGACGGTTATTAAAATATAAAAGTTTAATTAAAAAGTTAATGAAACGCGAAAGCGTCGGGGCAATTTCCTTTGATACGGAATTCAATTATAATTTGCGTCAAACCACCGCCATCACTGCCGACGTCTCGTCGCGGTACACTAATGTTTAATATTGCGCGTTGTGTTAATATAACACTCGTAATATCGCGCGCCATATTATTTAGCAGAGGAGACTCAAGCGAATATTTCTCTCTTTCCAGCAATTCGGGCCGATCCTGGACGTAGAAATCATTTTTAACGAAAGAGGCAGCAAGGTAAGCCCGCGTTCGTAAGCGAACCACCCCTGTCAACCCACCCTCGACAGACAGATACCTTTAGTCTCTTAAGCGTTAACGTCGCGCCGAACGAACACTCTCGCATCCAGAACCGGGAGGAAGGGGCAGAGACGAGGGGAGAGGGGAAAGCGCGTGTTTGTATCCCGTATTTTTCCTTCCTTCTCTCTGTGCGGCGCATCCCAGGATATATTTATCTTTCGCGATGGCGAATTATTCATGTTTTCCTTTTCCAAAATATTTACTTTTTATATCGTCAATAATTCGCGGGGTATGGTGAGGCTCCGGCTATTTTTCCTCTCGTTTTCTTCGTTCTCTCTTCCGCCTTTCCCGCTTTCTTTTCCAGAAATCGCGTTCCAACCCGTCACGCGTTGTAATCGTGGCGATTATTTTCGTAACTTGCGATCTGGGGCTGGGGGGAGGGGAGGGGGAGCGGGAAAGAGGCGGGCGCCACCTCTTATCGCGGGAAACTTCGAGATCCTTCGTTCGCCGCCACGGTAGCAGCCGTGAAAATCGTTCGAACGTGACTCTATTTTTCCACCCACGTCGTATCATGCGCAACGCTCTTTCCCGTTCATTTATTGGGGAAGTTCCCCCCTCCTCTCCCACCACCGCTCTTCCCCCGAACGCCCGGTGTTCTGGATGCGAGAGGATGTCGTAATGATCTTGTTAACGGATGCAGCACCACGAACGACCGCTATCGTATTATATTACGATACGTGTATCCCTCGGTACACGTGAGGGCAGCAGACAAGGGAGACCCTTGCGCGAGCGAACTAATATTGCATTCCGCAAAAATGGCCACCCGAAAACGTGCTGCTGCAACCGTGCGTACCTCTTACGCGTTTCTTTACAGCGCGATGGCGACATGCCGTCCACGAAGTTGCGTGGCGATCCCGACGGAGGGATCCCGTCGAGTGCGAAGTGCCATTGTCGATTTCGTGCGATTCTCCGTCTTAGTGCCGCTGTTTCTTTCCGAAGAGATCCCAAAGCGATTTTCCGGAAGCACTTGTCAATCGTGATCGGCCGTGAGTGCTCGTGTCCGTGTACGCGCTCTTAAATCTCCTCGGTTTCGAGAAGTACGCGCGATAATCGGACCCTCGAATTATCAGCCACTTACTTCCACCTGCTCCGCCGGTGCTTCGTTCCGGTACTTCGAGCGCGCAGCCGGTGAAGTCGATCGCGCGACGCTATCCTCCAGACTTTTATCCCCAGTCGTCTCGATTCGCCGATCGTTCTCGTCGCTTAAAGCCGGCTCTTTCCCTCCTGCGCGTTTACTCTGTCTCAGTGCGCGGGGAAAAGCGGCGATTGCACCTCGAGAAAAGCTAGAAGAGAGCGTGCCGACGACGACGTCGTTCGCACGAACGACCGGCGTAGGAAAGCGCGACAATCCCACGGAAAAAAGAACCGACTCACGACCCAGCCTCGCTCACGTGCACACACATACACACGTTACTACACACCACAACGGGCCAGTTTGAAATGCAAATCGCTCACAATATGGACGACATTGGTCGGGATAAGATCCGCAGTAATACATCGCGCCGACAGCCGGCATCCGCCGAGCCGGTCGGTGCATATTCAGCGTCTTCGCACAAGTCAAGTACACTCCGGCGCACTTCATCAAGTTGCGCTGTGCACTGGTAACCCAGTATCCCGCGACCGCTGTCTGCCGACGTCACCGCGCGCGCACGGTGACCTATCGCGGATTAGGTCGCGTTTCCGGCAGGCTCGTTAATATATCAGCCGTCGCCACGAGGCGCAACAATCCGATTAACGTCACCGTCCGTCGAATTTTCGCGGCTGGATCGTCCCTACCCCAACTGGAAATTCACCCTGAGCGCACTGAGGAAAATTCCTCGGAACAAAAGCACATTTCCTGCTTGATATGATCATTGGGGAAACAGTCACTGTTGCGAATCATTTTTCATTTGTTGCGAATCATTTGTCATTTTGACAAACATGCATTGCCCGAGATGCAAATCACACTTTTCTCGGAACTTGTTCGAAATGGATTCAGTTATTCTCTGGATCTCTGTGTCTTCTAGGGGAAACCCCGAATTATTCCGAACGAGTCTATAATAACATTCCTAGTCAGGCTGATCCTTATCTTGTTTTGTACAAGGTGACGTTATCGGGTCCTGCTAACTCACGTAACGTAGCGTAATAATCAGAACTTTATTAATAATAAGGATTATTAACCCTCCACGTACAATGTTGAGTCTGTGAGGCTAATTGGAATCAACCTGATCAGGATTATGGGATAAATTTTGTGATCGGGTATGTCTAGCAGAGAGGCTACAGTATATGTGTGTGTATCGTGTGTATTTCTCTCTTTTCTCTCTCTTTTTCTCTTAGTACATTCTTTATTGACCTCGTGAAAACCCTTCTCGAATAAACCATCAGGCGCTCTCGCAAAGTCGACTTTTTATGACTGAAATCCGGCTGACGTCTTAGATTCCAGGACGAGAAATTCTTCTGGATTGGTTTCTATATCCCATTTTGTAACGTCTCGAGGAGGAGAGAATATCCCCCGTATTTCGTGTTGTTTTGTTATATCCATAGAAATCAAAGTATTCATCGGAAGTTGTCGCGAGATTGATGGATTGTGCTCTCCCTTCTTTCTTGCTCGGACAAGCTTCAATTCGAGAATACCGAATCTTTCGCGCACAGATTTTCCCGGTTTCACTGGCAACCTCCTCCAGATCGATTCGAGACCAGAATCTGAATACATTCATCGAGCAGAAGTTCCTGCCGGGACAGGATTACGATTAGGGAGGGAAATGACCCGTCGGTAATGTTCTCTGAACGCAGCTTTGCACGCGACATTTTCGTTCGTGAAGTTTCGCTCATGAGAACTTCGTGACGATAACATCGCGGGAGAAAGAGTGAAAGAAACAGAGAGAGAGAGAGAGAGAGAAAGAGACTAGTCCCAACAGAAGTAACATGCTCATTCGGATCTTCAGATCGAGTTCCCCGAGAGACTTTCAACTTGGCATTATTTCACGCGACGCTCCGTAATGGCCGATGCCGCTTTGTAAGCTTGTCGTAAGTAGGCTTCTCGCAACCTCTCGTCGGCGGGTGAAGGAGAGAAAGGAGTCCGTGGAGTCACGCGAGCCAGCGTTGCAATTTTTTCCGTCGGCCAATCCCACCAATCTCGCGAACGAGATCTGCCCTCCCCCCATCCATCGGATTCTTCTTGCGTTCACGCTTCCGCGATCAGTGCGTGATCGATTTTCCCATTAGCGCGCCTAGCGGCAATCAATTAGCGCGGCCGCGCGTGCGCTCGGACGCACACAGACGCGATCGACGTGCCGGAAGTGAGAATGATATTCCGATATCCGATTACACGATAGAGGCGTATTTATCCGAAATAAGGTCTATAATGCGGCGCGGTGGTGGCCGCGCGACGCTGATTATTCCGTCGATCATGGATAGACAACGCGCGCGTGTGTAAGAAGGCCGCGGGATCGCGCGCGCGCGCGTATTAGTCACTGATTAGACCATTATGCCCCGGATCCGGTTCGTCTGGGCCGTGACGGTCGCTCTCCAGCGACAGGAAGTCGATGTCGCGACGCATCCGTGCCCGTAACGAGCAATCACGGCCGCCGCCACGTGATGTAGTGGAACGCGCGCGGGGGCTGCTTCCAGTTTCCGAAACGCGCGCCCCGTCGCCGCCGGCGGCGACGCTCCGGGAACTAATTAAACTCTTTCGCGCGCGGCTGGTAATCAGCGCGACGTGGAGTTCCTCTAGTCAGAGTTAGGACAAAGCATGATGACTCCTGATTGGCCCGCATCCTGCCCGCCATTTTTAGGGGTGCTGGGAGCGAGAGAGAGGACTATTCTGGTAGAGAAGTAAGGGAGAGAAGCTTCAAGAGTGAAATGACGAAGCACACTGCAGCTTCTCTTTCACTCACTCACTCACTCGCTCACTCTCTTCCAAATAGCGGACGATATCTCCCAACTCTTGAGGAACTCCAATTTCAAGACGCTCGATCTCAACGCGACGCATCCTTTCTTTCCATTTTATTTTCCACGGCGCGATTGTCGCGTGTTTCTTAAGGGGATGTTGCGCGTAAACAAGAAAATTCTATTGAGTTAACCAAGTGTCTGGTGAAATATGAACATAACAGAATTCCGATTAAAATTACAAAAAGTTCTGATCAATCAAACAAGATTTCTAGTTAATTGGAACTTACACAAGCTTGAAGCCAGTACTTGTAATTCTGTGCAACCAATATACGTTGCGTAAGCCTTGCAGAAGAAATCAGTACTTTGTCGGTAAAGTTTTTAAGTATAGCATCCCCTTAATAGCCGCGAGCACACGAGAGAAACAAATCCCTTTGCGATAAGGAAACACGGTCGGCCGCGTTGCTGGCTATTCTCGCGACTCGATATTTCATTCTCTCGTGCATTACGGTCGATTTGTTACTTATTACTCGCGCGCTCACGTGACCGCCGCGATAATAGCGGACTCGCGCGATCTAACCTCGGCTTGTTTTTACCATTTTTCTACTCTGTGTCTCTCTTTCTTACCTTTTCCCTCTCTTTCATTCTTTTTCGCGAGCAAATCGATTTTATCCCGCGTATAATTTGACACTTGCGTACGACAGATGTGCATGCTTCATACTACATGCTTCTTAAACGGATCAACATGCTCGTGAATTTCTGTGGTTTTAGTTTAGTTTTAGAAATTTAATTAGATTTAAATTAAGATTTAAAGGATTTAAATTAAGATGTAATTTAGTTTTAGAAAAAACAGAAATTCCGTTTCTTTCAGTCGAAACGCGTCGGTCCGTTCGTTACAGCCAAACTCTAAACACAATTCTCTAATGACTCAAACTTTGAATATGACCAGATATTTTTCCCGTATACTTCCGATTAGATGAGAACTCGGTACAGGCCACAGCGAGCTCATAACCAAGCGAAACGTCGTCGCTCCACTACGACATACGCGAGCTGCGTCGAGCGAACGACACGCG